TTCAATATATTGAAAAATCTGTATCTTTCACTACTGATTTTGAGAAATAGAAAAAATTATGGAAGATACTTTTACTTTTGCACGATTTTGAGTCTTCGAAAAGTACACATCCGTAAAGATATGGAAGAATGTAAGTAGCAACATTCAAAACATGAAACATCTATTTACAATTCATGCTAAACAGATGTCTTTTCTAACAGATCAATAGACCTAAAGATTCTGAAAACTATTTAATTCAATAACTAGATAGATGTTTTTTCAAAACCGAATATAACATTTCCTCACTGATCAAAAAGAGTCCAAGAAATATTTTTTACGTGTTTTATGCCATTATATATTTATTATCGAAAAAATCATATAAATACTTACTAAAAAGACTAAGACTGATATTGTTTGGTCCAGAGATAAAAACAGAGAAGTTTCCAAGTTTCTTAGGAACGTGTGTTGTCACAACTAATATGTATCGAGTGTTGATCTGGAGATCAATGATTAACTTGAACTCTCCATCATTACATTTACCTCCATGTGATAGGAGTAAATTTTCAGGTGGTTTTAGAGGATTGAAATCATTTTTGTAGATATATCCATGTGCATTAATATTACTTTCACTCCAAAGAACATACAAACCCGTTGTATTAACATGAATCTGTAAAGCTTCATAATGACATTGCGGTACTTGACAATCTCGATAATATGTTGGACTATCTTCAGTTAATATTGATGAATATTTTAATTGAATATTTACTAAAGTACCTATTCAATAAACAAAGTGAAATAATACATAGAATTTCGGTACTATTACAAATTTCTGTCTTCCACATTCCATTCTGAACATTTTTATTGACTAATAAAAACATGAAAATAGTTAGACAACGATCCGTTCATGAACCTACAATCACGAATCAACGAAAGCGTAATCTTTGAGATTTTCTATGAATATTTAAATTTACAAGTGAAATTTAGTAAACGTACCAAATTCACATTCTCCAATTGAGTATTCGGAAATTGGTATTTCACAGAAATCTAAAGGTACTGAGCTATGGCAAGATAATTTTTAGATTTTCAGTACGTGACTCTTGAATGTTTTCAAAAATCTCATTGACTATTCTTTTTAGCATGTTTTCCATTCAGTATTCGTGCAAACTGAACATTATCCATAGACTAAGATAGTGGTAGCAAAATATATGAATAAATACTCTGCTGGAGAATGCCTTAACATCATATAGCATAAGTTCAATATGTTCTCTAAGTACTGAATAGAAGATGGGATGGAATTAAATTTAAAAGATATCCTGTGTATTTTGTATGAATCATTTAATATATAACACAAATATCTAAATACTTACTGAGACGATCGAGAAAAACTTCATTTTCACCTAACACGTCGATTGAAAATTCTCCAATTTCTTTTGATTCATATGTTGTCACAACCAATACGTATATCATGTCAACATTAAGATGAATATTAAGTTTAAACTGAATATCAAAGCCACCGTCATAATCTTGACCGAGTAAATTCTCTGATGGATCAAGTGGATTAAATTTGTTGTTGTAAATAGATCCATACGGATCAATGCCACCACTACCACGAAAACTGTAGTAACCATTTTTATTCACCTTCACTTGAATAGATTCATAATAAAAATTTTCCTTCTGACAATCTCGGTAATACATTTGATTGTTATTAGTCAATAATGATGAATAGGTCTTTTGGACGACAGAGAGTGTATTGGCTAAATGAACAATAAAATCAATTGAAGTTTATCGTGAGTACACAAAGATGTAAGTCTTTTTGAATAGAAAGGGGGTGATCGAAAATCATGACTTTTTCCTCACTCTAGAAATGCCATAATACGAAAGTCCTTGTTACCCAGATCACGAATCTGATATCCGTTTGTCCAGATCTGATCCTTTTTTTTCCAACAATTTCCAATATTTTATAAGGAAAAATGGGATTTAAACTATTTTACCGTATTTTACTATGTTTTTTTATTTTGATGATAGCGTCGTCATTTCGCAATAGAATTCAAAACTTTCTTATACGAAAATGATCAGCAAAAAAAGCTCTACAAAGTTTGAGGGAAAAGAAAATATTCTGAATACTTATCTGTTTGTGTTTGAAATCTCACGGAACTACCCTACGGAGACTCAGGTACCCCACTATGGCAAACACGGCAAGAAAGGGATCAGATCTTGACAAACGGATGTCAGATTCGTAATCTGGGTGACAAGGACTTTTGTATTATGACATTTCTAGAGTGAGGAAAAATTCATGATTTTTCGACCACCTCCTTTGTGTTCGCTTTAAATATACGTTCGTAATCAACTGAACTGATAATCTGTGTTCAAAAGGATAAAAAATTGATTCTTAGCCGCAAATGATTTGAATTTATTCTGTAGTATTATTTGTTTTTCGACATTTTGAAAAGAGAAAACATTATGTAGGTCATATAGTGTCAAAGAGAATCTAATAAAATTGTTTGATTTTTACTTGAAACTTAAAAATTCAAAACAAAATCTGACTAATGAAAAGAGAGAGAGAGAAAAACTTAAAAATAATTAGATTTAACTGAGCATTCTTTTCGCAATCAATCAATCAAATAAAACATAATATTGTTCACGCTGATCAGATAGTTTCTATGTAACATCTAAGAAGTTCTGTTTTATTCTTTGAATAATAATCAAAATCTTTGATGATTTTTCTGACCTGGTAGTTATTTTTACATCCTGACAGACGATAATGTTCAAAAGAGGAATATGTATAATCAATTGATATTTCATATTTTAAATGAATTTACTAGTTTTATATTGAAATTGTTAAATTAATCAATTCTTTCATTTACACAATTTTATTATTTTTCGATCAAAAAAATTTCATGTAGATTATTTTCTTTTACTTCGAAACTCACTTTCTTGTAACGAAAACTATACAGCTATTCATTATCAACATTTACATCTCATTATCTCATCCAATTCTACTTCAACTTACCACAATATCTTTTTAAATATTTAAATTTTTGAATTCGATGATTTGATGTATCAGTAACAAACATATTTCCGGAACGATCAAAACTCAAACCAGATGGATAATACAATTGATTGATTTTTGAACCCACTCCATAACATCCCACTAAACATCGAAAACCATTCAAACCAAAACCAACAATACGACTCATTTCTTGATCCACGATGAATAAATTTTTCTCAGCATCTAATATAATTCCACTAGGACAACCAACTGTAACTGTTGGATTTATTGATCCACTTCCAACTACTGTGATGCTGTTTAATTCTCCCGATTGGAACAACTGAATTCGATGATTTCCACAATCTGCCACATATAAATCCAAATTTACATCAACAAAGATTCCAACAGGACTATTGAGTTGATTCGAGGCTGATCCTTTAATACCTTTTCCAGCAGCAACACGATTTGAAGTCATCACATGATCATTCAATGATCTTTTCACTACTTGATGATGATTACGCATTGAACAATAAAGAGTATCATTGATATCGACAAACAAACCAGAACACGATGAGTTGACATTCATTACCGTGACAAAGATATTTGTTTCTGCACTCCATTTTTGCACTTGGTGATTCTTATCACCATCATCAATATAAATATCACCATTTAATATCACAAAGAGAGAAGCGGGTTGTGAAAAATTACCAGAGATGATCTTTGTTGGATTGATATTCTCTTCGTGCCATATTAGAATTGTGTTATTTTGTTGATTAGCGACATAAATTGTGTTGTTTGGGCTTATAAAAATGGCGGTAGGATGACCACCAACAATTGATCGATTAGCAAAGGTAATTCCATTAGAGTTCCGAATGGCTCCTGGACAAAACTTTGGTTGATTGAATGAAAGAGCTAAGAACGAGAGAAATACAAAGAATATTAGAGAAGAACTATAAACAAAATGAAACACTTAATTTCTATATTCATAGAAGAAAAAGATACTTAGAAATGTTTGTTAACATTGATTTTAGGAATGATTTTTATTAATTTTCATATGAAATATGAATTGCGATATTGTCAAAATATTTTTGTTTAACTTTTGTTGAAAAATCCTCTGAAAGATCTGAATAAACTGTGTCAAAGTAAAGTAGTTGAATAAAATAAATTATTTATTTATTTAAGGAAAAATAATCAAGAGAAAAGGAGAAATTTTTATCAATCAAATTTCTTTCTTTGTAATCTTAACAGTATTTTACAGATTTCAATGTTTTTCCTATGAAATAAAGAAAAAAATAAGAAAATCTTTGTTTTCATGTGAAAAGAATAATTAATTCTGGGTCCGCTACACTTGGCCGACAAACACTTTGCCGACATACCACTTAGCCGAAGCCACTTAGCCGAAAGGTACTCTTTGCCGACAAAAACTTGAGGGTGAGAGTGTGGGAATATCTAAAACAAAACACATTCACAGTCACCTACCCCTCACCCACACTCACACCCACCCTCAAGTTTCTCTTTCTCTATTCTTTAATTCCAATAAAAAGGTGAAGATTGTTTGCCTCAAACAATTGACGCATAGCTCTGTCTAATCTGAACATTTCATTTCCTTAGGCACATTCTGTTACACATTGATTGAATCAATCTCTCAGCCATTTTGTTTTCTTTCGTTTTTTGTATTGAAATGCCTTTATTAACTTCTGTTACTTATCCATTCACATCTCTTCATTTCATTCAACTTTTATGCAACTTACTAAGAGAATTCTTCACCGGTAAAAATTTTTGAATTCGATCATTGAATGAATCAGTAACCAACATGTTTCCGGAACGATCAAAACTAAGAATATATGGATTTCGCAATTGATTGGATTGTGAACCTATTCCATAACATCCAGCTAAACATCGAAAACCATTCAAGTCTGAGCCAACAATGCGACTATTGCCTTGATCCACGATGAATAAATATTTGTCAGCATCTAATATAATTCCAGTTGGAAGAAAAAGCGTAGTTGTTGGATTCAGTGATTCACTTCCAGCTACTGTGATGCCGTTTGATTCTCCCGATTGAAATAACTGAACTCGATGATTTCCACAATCTGCCACATATAAATCTAAATTCACATCGACAAAGATTCCACAAGGACGATTGAGTTCATTCCAGGCTGATCCTGGACTACCTGTTCCAGCGGTAACAAGATTTGAAGTCATCACACGATCATTTAATGATCTTTTCACTATTTGACTATGATCAAACATTGAACAATAAAGAGTATCATTGATATCGACAAACATACCTTCACATCGTGAAGAGACATTCATCACCGTGACAAAGGTATTTGTTGCTACTATCCATTTCTGTACTCGACCATTCTCCTGGCCATCATCAATATAAATATCACCATTTGATGTTACGAAGAGAGACGAAGATTTTGTAAAATTACCGGTAATGATCTTTGTTGGATTGACACTCTCTTCATGCCATATTAGAATTGTATTATTTTGTTGATTAGCGACATAAATTGTGTTGTTTGGACTCACAAAAATGGCGCGAGGTTTTGCACCAACAATCGATCGATTAGCGAAGATGATTCCATTAGAATTCCAAATGGGTGTTGAAGAAAACTTCGGTTGATTGAATGAAACAGCTAAAACGAGAGAAATAGAAAGAATATTAGAAAAGAACTTTAAATGAAATGAAATTATTAGTTTATATTTTTCTTTGAAAAATTCATCAGAATTAATTTTGAAAAGATTTTTTATGATTGTTGTTCTATTTTCCCAGATGATTTATAAATATGAACTAAGAGAAGGATGAATTTATCGAAGAAGATCAACTTTATTTATTTTTTTTTTTGTTGTAAAAGAAAAATAATTATGTCGGATTCTTAAAAAGGTTTAATTATCATTGAAGACAAAAAATAATCAAAAAAAGTTTTTTTATATGCTCAACGAAAATGATTTCAAAGGAAGAAGAAAAAGAATTGTTTAGAATGAAAATGAGTTTATTGAAATTGATTGATATTTAAACAAAATATCTTTGAAATTCAACATCGATTCTGATTTTCGTATGAAAAACGTTGTGCATTTATTGATGTGAAATCATTTCAATTGAATCTAGGGCGTGGGTGTAGATGAGAGAGTGAGTGAGACTGTGGGTGGGTGAGAGTGTGAGTAAGAGTGAGAAAGATAGTACCCGCACTCACCACACCCACACCCACACCCACACCCGCACCCACCCCTCAAAAGAGGCGCATTCTCTGTATGAGTTAGGTTGAAGTCTGGAAGATATGAGAACCATCACTCTTGAATATATAACAGAAATTCCTGTCAAATTCTATAATCATGTTATTTCACTACCTTTCGTTCAACTAAAACTCTAGCGAATAATGTCATTTTTGTGTAATAGCTGATCTTAAGTATGTGACAAATAAAAGTATCTACCTGATGTTTTATTGTTGAGAACGAACAGAAGAATAATGATAAATAAGTAGATATTCCACATCATTCAACAAGAGTTTTTTTTTGATAAATTAGTGAACTAATACAATAATCTTCTTCTTCTTTGTCTTCGATGAAACAAAATGACACTCGTTGTAGATTTTCTCTTCAGTTATATATCTCTGTTTTATTTCTCTCATTCATTTCTTTCAACACAACACACAAAGAGAAAAAATAGTGTTGTAGAGAAGGTTTCGTCGTTGGTAAGATAAAAAATTGATCATAGATTAGATTAATGAACAAAATTCATGATTTCATTTGATATTTTTCGTTGAATTACATTCTTTTCGAAATTCTAAAACACAAAATGGATTTAAATTTGAGATGATCCTTATCTTGTTTTTTTTTGATTTTATAGAAAATCTTTGATTTTAATGACGAAGAACGTGACAAATATAAAAGAGAATTGATCAAAATCTGCATTAATCATCGGACGTGTTTTAACTCAAAATAAGATATCAACTATCATCGTCAATAAATGATTGACGCCAATGAATAAGTCATGAATAGTTTGATATTTTTTTATTTGAATTTGTTAAATAATCTGCTTTGTCAGGACTCACTTTAAATCACGTTCTTTATTTCTCTATGCGTAATAAGTATTTTTATGAAAAGTTCTGTTCAGACATAATCAAAGTCGCAAAACGCAGATCAATTGTCTAATATTCTGTACAATCTGTCAGCGACGAGTTTTCAAACACGATGAATATCTTTGATTCAAATTAGTTTTTCAATCAAGGATGAGAATCGTTCTTTTCTGTCGTACACTTGCTGTCCTAGATAAATAATACTCAGAGTAATGTTTTCTATTATAGCTAAAAGTCGATCATATGTTCGACATGACAACTATATAAAGGTTGGGGAAGGTACGATGTTAAAACAAAACTTATGTTTCATTTCAATATCCCCAACACTTCTTAAACTATTCTCTATTGTTTTGTTAAGAATCGATAGTTATCAAATTCAATTAATCAATATTTTATTTTTCAAAAATCTAATAATGACATCATTCTATACATAAACAAATTAATAGGGAAAGCAATTTTTTCATAATTACATGGAAAAACATTCAAATACTTCAAGAAAAGTATATAGTTGGTCGATAGGAACTGTTCGTTTGAATAAAGTCTCTCTTTGTATCTCTGCTTTTATTCAAAAGAAAATAAAAATATAATTGAGAACAATTGGATAAAAATCTAAAATGAGAAGAAGAACTACCCATGTAAAGAAAAATTTATTTCTAATCGATTTTAACCACTTAAATATTTGATCTGAAATAAAGTTCAATACATTCGATGGGTGGGTGTGGGCCTGGATCTAGATCGATAAGAGACATCCACACCCCACCTCACATCCACACCCACCTTCAAGATGGTTTTTATTGTCAAAATCTAATAACAATACTCGCTATTTATCTTCATTGTGTATTTTAAAACAAAGTAATGATCTGATAATAATCTTGAAAAATTTAATTCAATCGAAAAAATCTCTTCGTGTTTATATTCTAAAAATTATTAATCGAAAATTGTATTGTTGGTGATAAAATTGATTTTTTTTTGAATAAATATGAAAATTAGTCATGAATATACTTTTTTAAATTAACTATTGCATAGATAGAGAATATAAATAAAAATCAGTTTCTTCGGTCGCGGAATATTGACGAATGACAAAATAGATATTAGAAATTTCGAATACTCTTTTCATAAAGTATTCTTCTCGTATGTTCACTTCGAATTAAAAAAGTTTACAACAAAGAGATTTCCAGTATGAACTGCAGCTGATTCAATAAGATCCTCGATTTGTATTAACTCAGTTAAAACATTGAGGGTGTGGATGTTTGTGTTATATTTATTCCATACTCACACCCCTAAGATGGACTTTCAAAGCCCAAAATCCGCTTTTTCTCTCTAACACAAGTATCACACACGCTTGTTTTTCTTTCCTTTTAACAAGACTTTCCACGTGTTATTTGTTTATAGATAAGTCAATATAACACTTTTTCAACAGATTATTTTTAACATGGGGCTACAACAAGCATTGAATCAACAACATGGTTTGATCGATTACCTACTGAAATTATTTTTACAATATTTGATTATTTAT